GAGGCGTTGTTTCCTTTTTTGTATTCAAACAGCATTGCATTCCGAATGTGGGTCTCGTCGTGTGCCATCACTATAAGGGATTATAGTATACTAAACTTTACACATTACATAGGCTACACTAACGTGACGTTTAGGCGGTTCGTTTAACTATTATACGTGATGTACATTTTTTGGGGGTTGCTTAATGCAAGTGTTCCAAAACGCGACATTAATTTCTTGACGACCTAATACTTTTATCCACGTTAACGAGAAATCAAATAGTCTCAACCACAGCAGTTCCATTATAAATCTCAGTATTAAATTTGGCCTCAAGTTTACATAAAACTAGATCGTTTGGGAAAAGTATTCTGTTTTCTATACTTATGTAATGATATTTAGCATGATACTTTAATTGAAGAGAAAAAGAGAAAAAACTCCAACAATTGTTTTGAATTTCGCGCAAATTTACACGATGGCTGTCTACGTTAGCCGTACCTAATTTAGCAGTGAAAGACTGCTAGTCATCACCACTCATCATCATCATCATAGTGGGATTCCCCGTCACATTATCACGGCTCCACGGTTGGAAGGGCGTGGCAGGGATTCGAACCCGCGACCCGCAAAGTACGAGTCTAGCGTGTTAACCACCTGGCCATGCTGGGCCTCATTGTTTGATTTTTAGAATCTCATGAAATCATGTTAAGAAGCAGTTAAACATATTTTATTTTGTAAACAAACTCATATATTAATATGAGCTTGAAAATACGACATTATTAACTAGGGTCTTTTGAGTGTGCCTGATATATATTTATTTATTTAGCTGGACAGTTTATTGTAGGAGAAAATTTGGAAAATTGTTTCGATGTCGTCCTTTTTTGCTAAAACCAAAAATTTTCCTTTGTTTTTGCAGTGAACTTAATCGCAAACAAATTATTACTCAATTTACATAATTATTATCAGTTTAAGATTTGGCACTGATAAAAGTACCTGTATGTAGGGACAGGAAAACCTTGAGCAACACAACCAAGCTCGATGGTGTCGCCCTCTGTGGCTTGCACTAAATGTTGTCTGTCTAAAATGTTTGGAGCCGACTCGCCTTGAGGATCTGGCAAAAAAATAAAAATAAAATAATATACAGATTATCTAAAAATTGTCAAAAATGAATAGAAACCAGTTTAGGGTAAATGTGAAATAGTTTGACAATAGATCCAGCGTAATGAAACCGTAGTTAAAACCATATTCAGGTGACGGGTAGTTCAGATATTTGTTATCATTATTACTAACGCGTGTGAACAAGAAATCAAACATTGGATTTTTGAATCATCAAGAAATACTACTACTCCGATAAATTATATTTCATTTCCTACATATCTGAACTAAAAAAAAATTGCTAAAAGTCTAGCTTTGAACGTTTTCCAATATAAACTTATTGTCAGTTGTTTCATTCAAAGATTACTTTTTAGTTACCTGTTATTACGGACTTCTGGCCGAAACTATGGTATAAAGAAGTGTTTAAATTTAAAGGTTTAAACATATGAGAGCTTCTGTTGATTGAAGAAATGTGTAATAAAAACTTAATATTTGACCGAATTGTCAAATTGATTTACTATTTATGTATTTGCAGTATTTCTTTATTAGTTGTAAACTGTTAAATAAATACCCAAGGTATTTAACTTTGCTGTGACTTTATAAACTTTATGTAAATGACATCTTTTATTCTAAGACGTTCTGTTAAGAGGAGTTCATGTTTTAAAATCTCACAATAAGAATTGTTTTGTTGTCAAGAAGATTTTATATTTACATTCTCAGACATTATAACATTTAACACGTGTTTACCTGACGGATACTTAATGTTTGATATCGATAAAGATTCACACATAACGTGTAAAACGTTCCCACCTCTGACAATTAATCTTCCGCTAGTATCACTGCTCGTTACTTGTGACGTCAGGCGATGATGAGCAACACACTTGTAACTGGCTCTTCCATCATTTGCTGTCACGCCTCTAATATAAAGCTTGCCTGTAGGAAGAATGCTGTACCTGCCACCTGGTTACATAAAAAATAACCACGTTACTTAAATAACTTTGAAATAGCATTATAGAACCTACATGTAATGTTCCTTTCCGTGGTAGTTGCCGTAAAGCGGAAGTTTTTTAAAACATTATGAAACCATGGAAACCTCTTATTTTATTCCTTCCGTCACGGAACCCCAATTCTTATGCTACCACCCTTAAAGCCTAGTCTATATGAAAATGATAAAATTCGTAACCGTATTTTTAATGTAAAATTGCAAATAAATATACAAAAGTATTATACTGAATATGAACTGACTCATGACGGGTTAACACTCAAACAATGAAAAACAAAAACAAAAAAACGCCATTACCTATTACCTTTGTGAGGAATCCCTGGCGACCTTTTGCGGAACCCTGGGGTTTCATGGAACACAGTTTGAAAATCATTGCCGTAGTAGAGGATCAAAATGCTTATATATATCTATATCTCTTTATTAGTGACACAAACCGTATCCCTACCGGTATTGCAGTGTTGTCATTTATATTAAAACAAATGTTTGCCAAGAAGAAGGCCTACAGGGAGGGGGGGTCATGCACTTGCCTTCTCTAGGAAGAAACAACAACCTAATATGACATATAAGTAAAGACAGGCTTAAGACAAATATTCTATAAATAATAACATTCCAGCTACTTTTGACAGCTATTTTATAGTTCACTTCAAAGCCTACAATAGGGTTCTATAAATCCCATAACTAATTTTTCAACAATAAATAATACATTTCTGTTTTGGTATGAAAGCTTTTTACAAGATGGCGGAACATGATTAGAATTATACTTGTCGTATATTAGATCTATTATACTTTTAAACCATACATTCTTTATCTAGTCCATTAAGTATTTTCAAGAAATAAAAGAGTGTATGATAATAATATTCCAATCACAATATATTCGCCACATCCATTGTCGACGACGCGTTTCGCTCACTCCAGAGCTCTTCAGGCCGGCTGCGATATAACAAACACAGTAGTTCTGGATTGAGCGAAACCGATACAATGAACACATTATTTTATTAAAACTAGTAAGTAATAGCAATAGCTTCCGTTTTAGTCCAAACTCCATTAAGTTTCACACCAATCTTTTTTTTCTTACAAAAATTACGTAAGGGCTACCTTGCGTACATAAGTATTTCGCAATTTTGAGCTAAAAGCATCATACTTAAAGGATTATAACACTGATGTGCAGGAAATCCGAAAGAAACGCAAAGTGGAGTAATAAGGCATAAAAATTGCCTCTACTAAAGCAATTATTTATAATGGTTGTTCTTGCATAGAACAGTATTACATGAAAAAATACCAAACTTGTAAGTCTTTAAAGGATTGTAAATCCAGAAAGAAATGAACAACATTCAGATAAGAACCAAAATAACGTGTAAAAACCTCAACGAGAAAATAAGACATTTGTCATCTTATCCAGACAATATTCTTCAAAAATGGTAAGAAGCATCGTCCTATCCTTAATATACAAAAAAAAAAGAGTTGTTAAAAGAGTAGCCCAAGAGTTGGAGGTGGGTAGTGACGACTAGCTGCCTTCCCTCTAGTCTTACACTGCTAAATTAAGGACGGCTAGCTCAGACAGCCCTCGTGTAGCTTTGCGCGAAATTCAGAAACAAACCTAACTTGA